AATTTCATTGAAGAATGCCTTGTACAATTATTTTTAAAGAGTCAGGATATAAACGGGGCAGACTTAGAGGAAGCATTTGGCTCTTTAGAACAGCTGCCTCCCTGAGAATGTCTTGAGTAAAATCAATAAATGGGTATTTGTTTTGAATTGAGCGTAGTATAGCTGAAGTGCCATTAAGTTAGCTTGTTTTTATGAAGCTTACTAAACCAGAGATTCATAGTTATCGACAAAGCTTTATCCGAAACATTCAATTCATCTGCTTTTACAGCGAAGAATAGAGCGTAACGTTTACTGTAAAAAAGGGTCTGGGGAGGTGGCATCATTTTAAAGTGCCTGCTGTGCAAACATGAGGTCATGAGTTTGACCCTCAGCACCTACATAAAGAAGGTGGGCATGATTGTGTGCACCTACAATTGCAGCTCTGCAAGGGTGGAGGCAGGGGGATTCCCTGGCCTTGCTGGCCAGCCAGTCTAGCTGAATTGGTAGCTCCAGGTTCAGTGAGAGACCCTGTCTCAAAAGCTAAGGTAGAGAGATCCACTAAGGAGGACAACTGGTCTTGACCTCTGGCCTCCATATGCACACACACATACCTACCTTACACGTGTACATACAATGCATATACATACAGTAATAAATAAATTGCAGTAAGGACTGCACTTCAGTTTGACCACTGGAATCTTTTAGGAAGAAAGACAGCTGGACAGGGCTGGGGAAAGTGTGATGAGGCCAGAGGAACAGTATTGAGGCAAATGGAGACCTTGGTTAGGCTGGAAAAGGAGGACAAAAAGGAAAAAAAAAAAAGGTGACCAAGAGGAACCCAAGGCAAATAAGAAAGGAGGGTTGTAAGTCTCTATACCTCGTGGACTTCAGGGTGTGGGAAAGTTGCACCCTCCTAGTCAGGCTGCTGGTCACCTGGCCATGTCCAAAGAATGAGTGGCCTCCACCCCTGTTCCCTACACATTGTCTGTAGATGCCTCTTAGGGCAGCTAGCACATAGTATCTCCATTGCCAACTGTTTCCATGTCCCACCACATAGGCTGGGATCTCTGGTATCAGGCCACAGAATGTGCCAGCTCTTCAGCTGCTCCCTCCTTACACCAGGGGTCTCATTTCCACGTGGAACAGTTCAGTGACCAAGATAAGTCACCAGAGCAACTGAGCCTGTGGAGGTGCAGAAACCTGTCCCTCTCAATAGCATGCATAGTGTGCTATTAACCATTCTTTGCTGGCTGCTGCCTCCAGAATTTAGAGTCTTGCTTTTCATCTGGGGGTGGAGGGACCACTGGAATGAACCGGTATGCTGCAGGGATGAACCCCAAAAGCCTGCCATTCTGAGAAGCCCCTTCTTTTTCCCTCTGTCCCTGTTGTGCCATTGTGCCCATGCCCAGTCTGGATTAGGTGTCTCCTCTGGGATCCCAAAATACCCCATGACATGACCACATTGCATGTTAAACATCTGTCCAACTTTCCAGGCCCATCTCTGTGATCCTAGTGAGCCTGTGGAATCTGGGTTGTACTTCATGTACCTGTCATTAGCCAGGACCAGGCCCTTGGAGGTTTATAAAGTGGGGTCATGAGTGGTCCTTTGCTTCACTGTGCATTTCTGAAAGCTTAATGAGAGCCTTGCATTGGCTCTTCTGCTTGGCTAGCTGGCCTTGGACAAATACACAAGAGCAGAGGTTTTGGAAGGCTCCGAGAAGACCCTCCATGCTAACTTCTGGACTTGGGTTTCGTATGTGAATCAGATGTTATAGTAAGGTTTTGAGGGAATGGGCAGGGTGGGAATGGGGACATGATGAATGCCAGGGATAACCAAGAGCTGTAGCACAGGTGGGGACACAGGATTGATACTGAGAGATAATATACCAGTTTACCTTATTGTCTTGAGAGCCTGGTCAGCAAGAAGCTCCCTGTGGCCCCATGAGATGAAGCTGCTCCCAAGCCCAGGCCTCAGGCTTGGTATGGAATTGGTGCCTTCACAGTGGCACACCCTGCCAGCTCCTTGGCAAGCAGGGGTATTTCTGCCAGGTGGTTGGAGGAAGGAAGGAGCAGGCCAACTGTGCCAGAGTGAGCTAGCTAAGCCTGGTGCCCTAGAGGCTAGCGCAAGGCGTGACAGGTGGGCTGTGGACAGACAGATGACGAAGTGCTTTATATCAGTGGCAACAGGTCACACTTTGTTCAGCTCTATGAGTGTTTGTGTGTCTTGCACCGGCCTGGCCAGGAACAGGTGTTTGGTAGATGTTTAATGAATGACTAATTGTATGTAGATGCTTCACTCAGGAATGTAAGTCTTCCTGCCAGAGACCCTATCGTTCTCTAAGTCTGCTGAAGCTTTTGGTACTCCTGTGTGACTTTTTATTATTGTGACACATGAAAGGCTCATACAGCCTTGGGGGGGAGTGCATGTATGGCGTATGTGCACACACCCACAACATGAAAGGCTCATACAGCCTTGGGGGGGAGTGCATGTATGGCGTATGTATACATGTATACATGTATACATGTATACACATGTGGATACTAGTATTCTTGTCTACAGTCTATTGTAGGCAGAACTAATCGGTCAATTAGTTAATCTCTTCTGTGTGTGTGTGTGTGTGTGTGTGTGTTTGTGTGTGTATGTAGAGGCTGAGATCTTTGTCAGGTGTCTTTCTCTGTGACTCTCTGTCTTTTTTGTTTTGTTTTTTGTTTTTGATACTATCTCTTACTGACCATAAAGGCAGATATTCTGTCTAGACTTACCTGCTGGCCTGCAAACCCCCAGGATCTACCCATTTCTGCCTCACAGCGCTGGGACAGGCATGTTTCACCAACAGATAGTTTGAGGGTTCTGGGATCTGACTCAAGTTGTCATGGAAAGTACTTACTTTACCCTTGAGCCATCTCTCCACACCCCATGTCTCTCTCTGCCAAGATGTTGCACTCTGATCTCCAGACTGTGTATATAAGCTGTCACTCCTGTGATTACCCTGCAGAAGAGAGGCATCACCTGACATTACAGTGGGGAGGTTGTCAGTGGACTGGATCTAATGACAAAGGCTATCAAAACAGCACTTGTCCAGGCTCAGCATGGAGGGGGAAGTCAGAGAGACTGGGAGCACTGAACGCTCAGGGGTTTCCTGACTGAAGACAGAGGGCTCTCCTCAAGAATCAGAGTGTTACCTGTAGGGGCCAAGGTGACCTCTAGCTAAGTCACCAGGGAACTGGGGAATCTCAGTCTTCACGATCATGCAGAACTGAATTCTGCCAACAATCTGACTGATCTTAGAAGAGAATTCTTTCCAGAGAGCCTAGTGCAGCCAGTGTCTGTTTTGGCCTTTGGATGGCCTTCACTTGGAGCCCTACAAATCCCAGCTGACCTTCTCACCAACAGAACTGGGGAGCCACAAGTAGGCATTGGTTCAAGTCATCAAGTCTGTTACACAGGAGTAGACAATAGCGTGTCTATTTCCAGATGCCAGCTCAGTGATTCCATCCTCCCACCATGCCCCTCTCCAGGATGGTAGTTTTAAGGAGGTGGTCCAGTAATTTTAAACTACCCCTGGACTTGCAAGTGTGAGCTCTCAGCCTGTTTATTATTATTATTATTATTATTATTATTATTTTGGTTTTTTGAGACAGGGTTTCTCTGTGGCTTTGGAGGCTGTCCTGGAACTCGCTCTTGTAGACCAGGCTGGTCTCAAACTCACAGAGATCTGCCTGCCTCTGCCTCCCGAGAGCTGGGACTAAAGGCGTGTGCCACCACCGCCCGGCTGTGAATGTTTTTTGTATGACAGTCTTTCTCATGTAGCCAAGGCTGTCCTTGAACTTGCTGAAATCAAACAAAGTCCTTTAATTCTGATCCTTCTATCTCTACCCCCTGATTGCTTCAATTATAGGTGTGTATATCACCATTCCCGATTTATGTGGTACTGGGGATCAAACTCAGGACTTTGATGACTTCTAGGCAAGCACTCTACCAACTGAGTCATGTCCCCACCCATGTGTGACAGTCTGGCTGAGTCATAGTGAATATGGGCAAGAAGGAGAATTCTCTGGGTACAGGCTGGTGGGTACTGTCTTCCTCAATGGAGCAGATGTATTCATTGAGAATACAGTGAGAAGCCAAGTAGGTTCTTGGCTTAGGCAGTCTTCCAGATTATTATTTTTTTCAACCTTTCTCACCTGTTGCTCACCTGAGAAGTTACTCATTGCTTCTTCTTGGTTGGGCCAGACCTCAGGCTAGACTGAGGCATAAAGGGATAATGGTGTAGAGATGAAACAGTGATTGACAGGCATGGGTATGACACAGAAACTGGAGTCTCATGGGATGAGTTGAGCAGAGTCAAGATGTCCAAAAGATCCCACAAGAGAACCTCTGTGCTCAGGGTGTATCTAACATCCAGGATTGGCTGACTGTCCCATACTGGCATCCGTTTGCCCTCCTTGGTGCAGGATGTTGGCTCAGTTCCAGGTGAAGGACAGTAGGCCAGGGGAAACTTGAGGTGGGGTTTCCTGGGGTTCCTGAAGCAGACTGGTTTGTCATCCATGGGAGCCCTGGGGAAATGCCTCCTGAGAAGGGGCCAGTTCCATCCCTTAACTGTTAACAGCCTTGTCTCAAGAGGTGGAAACACAGTTCCTGAGGGAAGGCAAGTGAGAGACAGAAAGGACCATGTCAAGCAGGTAGGGTGAACTGGGTTCTGGAAGGTTGGACAGGAGGAGACCTCGACGGCGCCAGCAGGAAGCTGGCTGCTTCTGGATGAGCATGGGTCCACTTGAGATAGACTGCCTGCCCATACTCAGTGCCACCAGGCATGTCTTAGTTACTTTTCTATTGCTGTGAAGAGACACCATGACCAAGACAATTTATAGAAGAAAGTGTCTAATTGGGGGCTTGCTTACGGTTTCAGAGGATGAGTCCAGTTGCTGCTGCTGGCATTATCCCAGTGCTGAGTCATTTCCTTCCTGAGGATCCCGGGACTTGGAGTGATGTCAACTGAAACATTTTTGATTTTGTTAACAAAAAAAGTCATCACAAATCAGGCTTACAAGTAACCATGAACTTGCAGCTTTTTAAACCAGTCTGAAGATTCCTCTTTCAGTGCCAGAACCAGAGGTCCAGGGTCCAGGCCTCACACTGGTGCTGGTCAATTCCTCTCCTACAGCAGAGATGCAGCAGATCTGTGCCAGCTGTGGTTTATGCCAGGATGGCAAACGTCAGGCTTGAGGAAAGAGAAGCTAGCTAATGGCTGGAGAAAGCAGTTGCCTTGCTGTGTCATTTTGTGTAAGGGCCCTTCTGTCTCTGGGCCCTAACCAAGGAGCTTGACAAATTGATTACTCCCATCCCTTCTGGTTCCTGTGCCTAGATTTGTAACTAAAATACAATGTTGCATCTTTGTATCCCTGCCACCATCTTCCTGGAGACTTCATTTGTCAGGGCTTAAAGTTTGGCTTATTTGAGGAGAATTGGCTCTCCACACCTTGGGGAATGCCTCTCTGATCCAGTGTCACCCTCCTGTCCATGTGCTGTAGTATTGGAGCCCCTGCAGTGTAGTCTCTGTCTGTTCCCTGTCACACTGACTCACAGCAGTGAGGCATGACCATGGGTACAGCGTTGGAATGGCTGGGTAGAGGAAGTCATAAGCAACCAGAAACTTGAGTGTGTGAAGGTGTGGGTGTGGAGACCAGAGGTTGATGGCGTCCTCTATTCAGCTCCACCTTATTTTTTGAGATAGTCTGTTCACTGAACCCTTAGTCTCTTTAGCTAAATTGACTGACCAGAGAGCCCTCCGTGATCTTCTTGTGCAGGGTCACTGATGCCCACAGTGATGTCCAGCCCTATGTGGGTTCTGGGGCTTAAACCCAGGTCCTCATACTTGTTCAGCAAGTGCTTTATCATTGAGCATCTCCCTAGCCCACCAGGAGCGTCTTAGTGGTACCCAGCACCAGCAATTGATGACAGTGGAATTTCCTGCCTCCTGAGACCCTGCCTGTTAGCAGCTGATGTATCCACTGTCCCTTGTCCTTGGCTCTTAGAAAGAAGAGTTTCAAGATGATCCGGTCGCAGTCTCTGTCCCTGCAGATGCCAACACAACAAGACTGGAAGGGCCCTCCAACTGTCAGTCCGGCCATGTCTCCTGCAACCCCTTTGGTCCCTGGAGCCACTTCCAAGCCTGGGCCAGCACCCTATGCCATGCCTGAGTATCAGCGGGTCACTATCAGCGGAGATTACTGTGCAGGGGTAAGGTCATATCCACCTTTGAAGTGTGTGTGTGTGTGTGGGGTGTGTGTGTGTGTGGTGGTGGTGGAAGGGGACTCAGGAACCTAAAGAGAAGGGAGGCTCCAATGGAGACTCTGGGGTGTGGGCATGTCTCCGGAGCTGCCCTATCCTGGTGTGCAAGATCAAGGGCTTCAGGTTGGCATGCTGTGGCCATGCTGTGTGTTCCCCAGCCCAGAAATCTGCCCTCTGGGAAGACTGCCAACTAGACCTGTCAACATTCCCAGTGTCCAGTGGCGACTATGTGATGATGGTCTTGCCTTGTGTAAAATTAGCTCTTACATGCTTAGGTCAATATTTTAAACATAGGCTAGAAACCCCTCAGCCAGCAAGACAGGCTCTTGATGAGAAAACAAATATGCTTTTTTCTAGAGATGATACTATATTAATTTATGAAAGAGCTTCCTTGTTCTTCTTTATGGGTACATAGCATTCCATTGTGCGGTTGTACCACATATTGACTTCTTGGGGATGGGAATTTAGATGGAATTTAATGCAGTTCCTTTTTGGCCAGGCTGCTGCTCTGCCAACTCCTAGCTTTCAGCCTTAGCCTCCTGACCAGGGTTTGGTGTCCACATCACACATGTAGGCAGAGTAATGGACTAGAGGCTAGAAGTGGGCTGAACGCATGATGAATGGAGCATAGGAGCTTGCACTGTTACCTCCCTTCCTCTTCCCTCGCTGTGCATATCTAGAGAGCTATGAGGCTGTGTGAGGCACACTGACCTTGATAATCCTGGTACCCAAAGGGTCTGGGGCTAGCCACTGGGCCCACAGAACCCCCAAGCTTGGCTAATGGCTACTTCTTCTTGGGGACCCTGCACCTTCTCTGACCTCCTTGTCAGATGGAGTCCTTTGGCTTTTCTGTGGGTGGGGACATGGCTTTATCTCAGCATGTGGCTGCTCTGAGGCCAGCTGCCTGGAAGGTACAGAGAGGAATGAACACATACTGGTGTGGGTATTTAGGAGACAGAACGGGTGGTGCTTCCACTTTAGAAAGCAAGGAGTCAGATTTGGTGAAATGAATGAGCACGACATATGCTGACCACTTGCTTCCCTCTGATGACAGAGTGTGGCAAGGGGGACCGGAGGGCACTGTGTCCATGCCACTTTATTTATCCACCCCTAAAGGGCATCTGAAGCAATTAGGACACATGTGAATATCAGGGTCTTGGTAGACAGGTGCACGATGTCTGTAGATGGACATAGAGAGAGTCAGCAAAGGGGAGGGACACACAGGGCAAGGTCTGGAGAATACCAGGACAGGCTCCAACAGTCTCTCCCAGTGAGGCACAAACACCTAGTGTCCATCAGGGAAGCTCATTAGAGACTTGGCTTTGCTTGTACATCTACAATAGCACATCCCCAATTCCAGACTCTTAGAAGGAACTCAGGTGCCCAGCATGAATCCTAGTGTTTGTATAAATAGATCACACACAATGAGCCCTTCTTATCAGTCTGATGGGAACTGTTCTGAAATCCAGGTTCATGGGGGCCAGGCTTGCACAAGATCTCTCCAAGCACAGTTGTCTCTGGCTTGTGGACAGACCCTTTCTTGCATGCTTCTTGCTGCAGATCACTGTAGAAGACTATGAACAGGCTGCCAAGAGCCTGGCCAAGGCCCTGATGATCCGGGAGAAGTATGCACGGCTTGCCTACCACCGCTTCCCACGGACCACAGCCCAGTACTTGGCTCACCAGGGGGAAAGTGTACCTTTAGAAGAAGCTCTCCCAGGTATGATGTCTTGGGAGCAAGTGAGATCCTATGTGTGGGCCTGACCCAAGAGTTGGCTGGGGCTTTTTGTTGGCTGTGTATTTTTCCACCAGTGGTGTTTTTTGGGTGGGGCTCCTGACGTGTTTAAAACAGTACAATTGAATGGACAGCATAGGATGAGTTGTGTGGGATTAGACATAGTGTTCATGTGCTCTGGGCAGAGGAAGCAGACCGTGAAGCGAAACACATTTGTGTTTGTATCCGGATCATGACAAATTCTTGGACCTTGAGCAAACTGCTTCTCTAAATTTCAGTTTTGTGGTCTAAAAAATGGAATGCCAGCTAAAGCTGTCTCTCTGAGCAAGATTGTGTGAATGCATGTGGAGTGTTTAGTACATATCTGGCATTTAGAATGTTCCATAAATGGCAGCCACATTTATGCTGCCAAATTCAGGGACAGGAAATGAGAAGGGCAGGGTATCTTCCTGACATAGTGAGGGACTTAAGAGCAGGAGAGATTAAAAATGAAGTCACTAAAACAAGGGCATGAGAACCCTCACCCTTGAAATCCAGGGGTGGGGATTGGATGAAGGCCTGGAGATTACATCCAGGCTGGTTACCTGGCTGCCTTGGGGTAATGGATGCTGGCTTGTCCCCGTTTCTGGCCCAGTTCTGTGTTGAACATCCATTACCCCCAGGGAGGGGCCTGGGTAAATCTTAGCCTTCCCAAGGCTATTTTCCTGTCTGTCTGAGAGACAGGACGCCAGTATTGGAGGGACCAGGTGGGAATGACTGTCAGATATGTGCTTTATATGGCAGAAGGCCCTTGTGTTCTGAGCATGAGTGTGGTGAGATTGACACAGTCTCTGGGTGGGTGGATTGTGGCTTCACACAGGCCTTTCCAACTATCTGCCCCTTCACAATTCTAGCACTATGGAGAAGTTCTTGGGCAAGAAGTTCTTGCTGTGCCTGATGGGCCATCAGCATCCTTCTCTGCTGTGTTCTGCTTTCTCTGTGACCAGCACAGCTCAGGGTCAGCCTGTTCCAGAGTCTGAGGCAGGACGCCCAGCCCTGGGCTCTGGGTGCATCTTCCAATCAGGAAAGGTTCCTCCTGCCTGGCAGGCAGCCGACCTGCAAGGTGCTGGCTGACTTTCTGTGTTTATTCCCCGGCCAGAGCCAGCTGCTTAAGAGTCCCAGAACTAATGAGAATGCAGATGCTCTCGGCTGCTGCTGATTATGTTCCCAGTAAACCAATTGGAAGCTGAAAATGCGTTTAATACATGCAACCTATGTTAACCATGCTCAGAACGCTTCTGTGAGCCTGCGGTTGGACAAAATCATCAATCTACTTAGTAGCAAAGTGCTGAATATCCCGTCATTCGGTCGAGCCACCATAAGCAAGGCCCTGTGATCCCTGTGCGGGGCACGCCTGCTTATAAAGCATTTCCCTTCCCTCCCCACTTTTTACAGCCCTCACAGCAGCCTGCTGTGTAGGGAAGGGGTGTCTTAGGCTGGGAGTCAGGACTTGGGAAATAACAAAGGTGTGTTACCGCTTGAGATGGGCAGATTCAGCCCGGTTTCCTGCTGGGCAAGCAACTCCATCCTGGGCAGTTCCTGGGGGTGGGGTGAATGGGAGGTTGGGGTGTGAGGGATGGGTGAGGTGGGGGGAGGGGTGGATGAGGGCAAGGGCCTGGTCACTGCTCCTTATGCTTTTTGGGGAGGCAGGGTGGCTTCTGTCTAATTCCTTGTCTGACTTGGGTTCAGAAAAAAAAAATGTGGGAAGAGGGCATTTATTCTAGTGCTGTCCATTCTCTTACTGGGAGAATACTCAGCCATTCTGCTCTAAAACTAAAATAAAAACAAACATTCTTGAGGGCCAAGGAGGACTGAAGAGGGTGATGTCCATTTTAATTAAGCTAATTAAGCTAAACATACACTTATGCACACGGACACACACACACACACACACACACACACACACACACACACACACACCAATGTGCCAGCCTAGAGGACAGGGTTTCTCTAGAGACTAGACTCTGGCAGCTAACAACACAAATCAGTGTGCCTTCTGACACCTGAGGTGTGAAGAACAATTATTTCACACAGTGTTGAGAGTTAAACAAACCAGTGAAGCTGGCAGACTACACAAGGTCAGTATTGTCATCACTAAGTGACGTCATCACTTAGCCATCACTCATCCTGTTTTGTAGACTTCCACCCTCCTCCACTCCCCCATGAAGACCCTTATTGCCTGGATGATGCACCCCCCAACCTGGGATACCTGGTCCGCATGCAGGGAGGCATTCTTTTTGTGTATGACAACCAGACGATGCTGGAACGCCAGGAACCCCATAGCCTGCCCTACCCTGACCTGGAAACCTACACTGTGGACATGAGCCATATTTTGGCACTCATCACTGATGGCCCCACGTAAGCCAGTTACCCCGACTTCCCCTTTCATTGTTTGGTGCATGCAAACCATCTGGGTTTTCCTTGTTGGGGTGGCACAGGCTTGGAGTTGTCACTGCTGGTCCCTGCTGCACACACATGTGTGGGGGCTCCTGTGTGCATTGGCTATTTGTGTACCTTACATCAGCTGTCACCTCCTCAGGCCAGGAAACACCACAGAGAGCTGCCAGCCCAGGGCATGGGTGAGCATGGAGGGAGTCATGAAGACTCTCACTTTAGCCCTTGGGCTTTCTGTGTTTTTGAAAGTAGCATGCAGGGATCCTGGGGCCCTTTGTGTCCCAGAGCTGACAGGGCAGGTGGCTCTCTTCCTGACAGAAATGAACTAACCAATGGTGAAGGGTCAGTTACCTGCACCTTGGGAATTGGAGTCTGGGGAAGGTGAGGGTCTGCCAGAGTGCCATGTACCCCTCTCTCATCCCTCCTGCCTTTTGGGTTTTGCTGTGAAGGGTGCAGGTCTAGTCTCTGAGAGAAACTAGCAGGACTGGTGAGGGTGGGCAGCTAACTCTTGGTCCTCACGGATCAGAGGCCAGAACTAAGACCCCTGAGAGGAAGGAACAATTTCTGGAAGCCTTGCTTGACTGGGGGGGTGTAAGCAGTGACTGTTGTCTGAAAAGCTGTCAAGGAGAGACCTTCTTGGGACAGACACTGGACAAAGTAATGTTAGTTAACCTTCCTTTCCTACCCTGAGACACACCTGTGCTCATCCAGGGCTTATCTCTGCATATAGATGATGACACTGCTGTGGAGTGTCATTAAAAGTGTTATCATTGCCATTTACCTATATGTATGTGTGTACATCTGCACATGAGGAGGTCTGAGGTCTCGAGGTCCCCTGGAGCTTGAGTACAGGCAGTGGTGATTTGGGTCCTTGGAATCAAACTCAGGTCTTCTGCAAGAACAGTATATGCTCTTAACCACTGAGCCATCTTTCTAATTCCAAGAAGCTGCTCTTTGTGGAGGCCTAGGGGACTAGATAAGAAGGCAGCTGCTGTTTGGGGATGCCGTGGAAGCAGGGTGGCATGATTGGTGGTTAATTCTGTGTGGCTGGGTGGCTGAGCTGGGTGTGGGAGACACCTGGCCACAGCAGTGAGGCTGCCTATGCTGTTGAGGAGAGCTCTGTGAGTGCTTTCTCTGGGTGGGGAGCCTGAAGTCTCAGGCTAGCAAAGCTTTCTGTCCCAGTGTTCCTCACCTGCCTCTCACTGAAAGTGTCCTCTTCCTGTCAAAGCGTCTCAGAGTTGATGAGTCCTCAGGTCTTGGAATCTAGGGCAGTTGACCATGGGTGAATAGCTGGTACATCTGCATCCCAAGCTAGTCAGGTTGTATGATATAGTCTGACTGTACTATTGATATTCTGGGCAATGAATTCTATCTTTAAAGGGTTAGGGTGGCTGAGGAGGGGTAAGGAAAACAATGGGAGGGGCTGCCCAGTCAGACACTGGCCTCATAACTTCAGTCTGGGGTGTTACCATCTCAGCAAAGATGCTTATTCCTGTGCTAATTGCCCAGACACATAAGACAACAAAAACCCTCATGGGGTTCCAGAATTGGTGCTTCCCTCCCCTGTGTCTTAACTGTCCCCTCACAGGCACGACGGCACATGTGTGCTGGCCAGTTCTGAGGGAAGCTGTAAACACCTTGGCTTTTCCTCCTCATCCTATCAGAGCCTGACCCTTCCACCCAGGGGTCACTAACCTCTCTGGGGGTTGATAAACCGATGTTTGATGTGACTTCTTACTATGGTCGCTATCTCTGGCCAATTTGCAGGAAAACCTATTGTCACCGGCGACTGAACTTTCTGGAATCCAAGTTCAGCCTTCATGAGATGTTAAACGAGATGTCCGAGTTCAAGGAATTGAAGAGTAACCCCCACAGAGACTTCTATAATGTGAGGAAGGTACGTGGTGGTCAGTGTTCAAGCCACTCACCTGGCTCCATATTGGGCCAGGGGAATGATGCTGAGTCTGTTTAGGGTCAGAGTTGGGTGAGTGTCAGGTCTCCTGGCTGGTCAGCCTTCTTGGCCAGAGGAACCTGGGGTGATAAGGTCACATGTGCAGAAGGGAGACTGTGAACTGGGTTCTCAGGCATCATGTACCACCCTAGATCTGTGTGGTTGCCTCTGTTGGTTCATGTCTCTTCCTCCTGCATCAGAACACAGCCTGCTGATTGGTCCGAACAGTTAAGCACTGGTGGTTTTAGGGTAGTGGATGTGTTAGAGTCATCTCAGAGGAAAAGCTGTTAGGACTTCTTTGGACTTAGGAGGTGGTGGGGTTCACATCCTTTGGAGCCAGGTCTCTTAAAGCAAATCACTAAGATGCTCCTGTCTCTGCTCATCCCTCTTCTACCTTTGGAATGGCTGAATGTCTCTGGCACCTTCTGCCTGCAGGGGTGGCAGCAAGGACAGGTGTGTGTGTGTGTGTGTGTGTGTGTGTGTGTGTGTGTGTGTATGTATGGATGGATGTATGTATGTGTGTATGTGTGAAGGGATCCTGGCCTGGAGCTTTTCCACTTTCTCCATGGTTCCAAACCTCTTCCACTGAGGTTTGGAACCATGATGAACATGGCTGAGAGAGCAAGAGTCACTTCCTGCCCTTTAGAATCCCCAGAGACAAGGGCTGTGATGAGGGTGGGGAGTGACTTTCACAGAAAGGCCTGAACTGAGCAGGGGAGGGTGTGTGGTGTGACAGAGTAGCATTCCCATGGAGGGAGCGGCACATGCAGGTGTCAGGAGAGGGGGAGAGGAAGAAGAGAGAGGGCAAACAGGCCGGGCTGGAACTTAGGTGTCAGCCAGGTGGGCAGGGGAGGCTGCAGGGCTGTGGGAAGGTTCTGAACCATGGAAGCCTATGGACTTTTTTTTTTTTAATGCAAACTGCCCGAGGCTTTATTGTTGTTTAATGAGCTAACCCCATGTTAGCTCAGGTCTTTCATCCACCCGCCATGGTGGATGGCTAGGAAATACAGCTCGAAGTGTCTGCATAGAGATCTTAAAGGGCAGCGTAAGGGGAGTGTCTAGGGGTACGCACAGGCTCAGGATTGGTGTGCCTCCAGGCTTGGAGGATTTGCCCTGTGTTGATTGTCAACTGGTTGTTATGGCCCATAGGCCCTCCCAGGGTGGTTGCTATGCTCTGCGCATCATTGCTGTGAGCTTGGCCGTAAAGCACACCCAGAGCCGTAAAGCATAGCACCACCAGTTAACTTCTGATTGGTTCCTTGCCACGAGGCAGGCATTTGACTTCCTAGTTACTAAGACTAGGTCAGACAAATACATGTTCAGCCTATGGACTTCTTAAGAATGCCAGAAGTCTCTGACTGGACTGCAAGGCTTCAGAAGTGAGAGTAGGGCACGTGGGTTATGACAGGCTTCTCTAGGTATGCCTGGGCAGAGATGAAAGGCCATGGCTAGACCACTTACCTAGACACAATAGCTACTGTTCCTTCTCTGGGAACCTTAGGTATTCAGTCAGGTGGTGCCTTAGTTACTGTAAGAGCTCAGCACAGACCTGGCAGAGCAGAGAAACAACTCACCGAGTCCAGCACAGCCCTGCCCGCCACAGGCGTGAACGCTCTGGGCCTGCTCCTGATGCTTGGGGCCAGGCTGGCCTAGTTGACTGTGCTTCTGATGGCCATCCCTGAACTGCCCTGGACTATCCCTGGGCTGTTCTCAGCCACTCCTTGGCCCTGGTGTAGGACTGGGGGAGAGCACAGAGATGATTCTTGGGGTCCCCTGGCAATCTGGGGTTGATGACACCAACAGTCTGGTCTGGGGCTCCTTGGTTAGTTCATAAACATGAGTCCAGAGCTGCTGAATTAGGCCTGTGTTTGCTCCTCTAGGGTGGGAAAGCTGGCCTGCTGGGTGCTAGAGGCTTTATTCCCCCCTCAAAACCTGTGTGCTAGGGACAAGACTGGGATTTTAAAATCCACAATGGCTGGGAAGGGGCATCCTTTTTCTGTGGTGACTGTCATGTTCAGAGCCAGGCTCTGAAGGCAGGAGCCTGGGCATGACATGTGTCTGATGGGTGGTGGGGATGAGTTATGACGCTGTGAGCCCCAACTAGACAGACCCTATATTGAGACTCATGTTTTCTGCCAAGTGCTTAGAAAGAAGGGTTGTGTTTGCCAGTTGCAAGTTGGGCATTAGATGCAAATGGCAAATTGTCATATCAGGGATACCATAGGTATCATCTGGGCCAAGACTGACCAATGGGGATTGGCTCCTTGAAGCTATTCAAGCTTAGAGAAAGAATAATATCGATTGCTCATGTCTGCATGGGTGTGGGAATGGTCAGTGTTAGCTCAGGTCCCAAATATCAACCAGTCCTGCATTGAAATGTTACTGTACTAATCTCTAATAAAGACCTTTTTTGACATATTCCTATAGGAGTCACTTTGAGATTCTGAAACTTGGATTGTGTGACTCCTGGATGGTCCAGCTGTTTTCATTCTATACACTGTGACTCATGGGAGCCATGGCAGACAGTGTCTATGACCAGAAGGACATAGCTAGAATCACAGAAGAATGTGTGGAGTCATGCTGAGATATCAGAGTGAGGCCTGCACTCAAAGCCAGGCTGATCTGGTTTGGTCTCAGCGCTGAAGTGCTGGAACCTCAGCCCTGCTCTGGCTCTGTGTGATGCTTTGGGTTTCACAGCTTTAAGTTGTTTCTGTCCCTTTTGGAGGAGTGTCAGAAACTGATGGCAGGAAGGACCCTGATGAGTGAGCAATGTGCCTAACACCATGGGCTGGCTGGGACAATGTACACAGAGGTCCAATAGATCAAATTTCTGCCTTGGCATGACTTACAGATGACCAACCAGCTGTAGACAGCATTCCCTGGCTTGAGGTCAGTGCCTCCTCACCCCAGCCTTGGCAGAGAACCCAGTCAGCTGCAGATCCAGGGTGCAGGTTGGGGTCAGGGAGCACCTCTCTTGGTCTTCTCGAGCTAATGAAAGGTGACCCAGCAGGAACACTGAGACTTAGTCACCTCTTCCCTTAGCCTGGTAGGTGGAATATAGTAAAAAGTAGGAATAGAGGTGATAGGGAGATCGGACAAAGCAATATTAGGGGTGCCCTTGTCTTAGTTAGGTTTCTATTACTATGAAGAGATACTAACCACAGCAACTCTTATAAAGGAGAACATTTCATTGGGGTGGCTTACAGTTTCAGAGGTTCAGTCCATTATCATCATTGGACATGCACACATGGCAGTGTGCAGACAGACAAGGTGCCACAGAAGGAGCTGAGAGTTCTACGTCTTTGATCTGCAGGCAACAGGAAGTGAATTGAAATGCTGGACATGGCTCGAATGTATATGAGACCTTAAAGCTCACTCCCACAGTGACACACTTCTTCCAACACGGCCATACCGACTCCAACAAAGCCATCTCCTAATAGTGCCACTCCCTATATGGGGGTGAATTACATTCAAACTACCATGGCCCTTGCCCTAAGATTAATGATGGGGAGGACAAGAGAAGTTGAAAGAACCAGGAGAGAGGTCATTTTTGGACTTGGGCGTGAGAGTTCTTGTGGTGGCAGTGAGGTTGAAGCATCTGTTTGGAGGGTAGAACTGATGGGATTGCCTGGTTCTGGGAGAAGGGGACAGGAAAGCTGCACATGCCCCACTTTTCATGGTGAACATCTGAGTTCAGGATGGGCCATTTCTCAGACACTGAGACCTGGGAGATCGTCAGTCTGGGCTGTGGCCTGAGACGGAGAATATTTTTTTTTTGGGGGGGTACATTAATTTTGAACTCTTTGAGTTTCTCAAATAGAGATATTAGGCAATTAGTTAGTTCTGGAGTTTCAGCTGATGGTTCACATTTGCGGTTGTTGGTGTAAAGAGAAAAGTTAGAGGCACAGATGGAGCCCAGAGAGATGACTCAGTAGTGGTCATAGCTCTTGTTGTTCTTGCAGAGGACTGAAGTTCAGTTCTCAGCATTCATGGCAGGTGGCCCACAACTACATGTAATTCCATCTCATGGGGATCCAGTACCCTCTTCAGAACTGCCCCCACAGGCGGCCTCCTCCTCCTCCTCCACCAGTTCTTCCTCCTCTCTCTCTCTCTCTCTCTCTCTCTCTCTCTCAGGACACCCCTCCCCAGGCCTTCTCTCTCATACACATTCAGGCACAATCACATACACAAATAAAAATCTCTAAAGGCACAAGTGGCTTAGGTCTGGGGTGAAGATGAGCTTTCACAGGAGACCAAGAAGGAGAGGCCAGAGGTGAAGAGAAAACTTGATGTTCCAGGAGTTTAGCATACTATGGAAGACCTGAGACATTCTACAAGGATGCCAATAGTCCTTCCTTCCTCTGAGGAATCTATGTTTCCACCAAACATAGGAGAACCCAAGCTCCAGGTTCCTGTCTGAGTTGGCTCTGAGTTCTGAGTCCATATGTTAGCTTCGAGTCAGGACATCTGTTGCTCTGCAGGGCTTGGAATTCCTGGGTTGGGGTGAGGTAGAATTGACTGAGAAAGGTGGGATGGCCACCCTCTTTCCTCTACTAGAGGGATTGCTATGGGAATTCCCAGAGAAATCAGTGGGGAGAGTGGAGTTTCAATGGTTATATGAAACCATTGGAACTGATGGCACCATGGGTTTACTCATTCACTCATCCATCCATGATTCTCCAGGTACTTTGGACCAATCCTTGAGCAGGTGCTGTAGACCTGGATGCAATGGACCTGGTCCCCATCCTTGAGAAGCTCTTAGGTGGATAGAAACATATGAGCGGGACAGGAGGATGTGCCCATCAGTGAGGATGACTGTACCAAGTGCCCAGGCTGGGCAAGGGAGAGAATGGATTAGCTGTGCCCAAGGGATCGGGATTGGTTTCCATGTGGAGGAGGCAGAAGGAAGTAGATGAACTTGGTGGGAAGGAAGATGACCTGCCAGGCCGAGGAAAGGCACAGGCAATGTGATGCAGCATAGCTTGGTGCCTGAGAAGCCATAAGTGGCTCTCCACGTGTGATGCAGGCAGCAGGAAGGGGAGAATTAAAGTTGCATGCGGCCCTGATTCCAGGCTAAAATTTTGGGCTTCCCCCTGAGGATGTGAGGGCCATTGAGGACTTTGAAGAGGGAAAAAATATAAACCAAAACAAAAATATCTTAATGCTGTTTGGCGGTATCTGGGTGGCAGGGCCACAGAGAAGGCGACTAGCTGAGGCCTGGAGGAAAACCAGGAAGAGGGACAGAGGGCACTGGCTCCACCTCCCGTGTAGTGCAAAGGTTCTGTGCTTCACATCAAGGGTTGGGACTCTTTGGTCACTAGGGGACAGGACCAGGTTTATTGGCCAGTGGGGGTGTGTTTCAGGTGGACACGCACATTCACGCAGCGGCCTGCATGAATCAGAAACACTTGCTGCGCTTTATCAAGCACACGTACCAGACAGAGCCTGACAGAACTGTGGCCGAGAAGCTAGGTCGGAAGATCACCCTAAGGCAGGTGTTTGACAGCCTGCACATGGACCCCTACGACCTCACCGTGGACTCGCTGGATGTCCATGCGGTAAGAGTCCATCTCTACCAGGGAGTACTCTGTCCACAGAAGCCACCATACTGTGCTTGAACATTTGGTGGCTGGGGAATCATCTTTCTCTGCTTGTAGTAGAGGCTGTGGGAGGAATCTGGTGTTATTGAATAATTGGGGCCGAGAAAAAACATGGATCAAAGGAAGACTATGAGGTATGAAGTCAGATGGTTCCAAGGTCTAATCCCACTTAGGAGTCATGTGTCCTTAGGTGACTCGTTTAAGCTTTTTTTTCCTTGTCTATGAAGTGATGATTGTGGGGCTGGGGAGCCAGCAGTTAAGAGCACTTATTTCTCTTGCAGAAGACAGGTTCAATTCTCAGAACCCAGTCAGTAGCTCACTGGTGCCTGTAACTACAGTTCCAGGAACCCTGGCGCCCTCTTCTGGCTGTTATAGGCACTGCATGCACTTGGAACACAACCAGCCAAACAAACCTGAAGTAAAAAAAAAATCAATACATTAAAAAAAAAAAAAAAAAAGATTTATAAAGTGATGGCTATCATGCATCTTGTTAATTTTCAAAGTTGTGAATGATGGTGTAGTTGCTGTGGAAACAGCATAGTGGTTCTTTAAAATTCAGAATTCCACAGTTGACTCCTATTCATACACTTGAAGGCATTGAAAACTGGGACATCAATAGATACTTGCAAACTGGTATTCACAGCAGCGTTACCTTCAATAGTCAAAATGAAGAAAGTGACACAGTACTCAAAGACAAGTAACCCAAACATAACAAATACACACAGTAAATACTGTTCAGACCTAAAAAGTCACAGTAAAAACTTTATTCTTTTTTTTTTCTAATTCCATTTTTTGGTGGTATATGCTTTTGCACATGTGTGTGGAGGCCTTAGGTGGATGCTGGGGTTCATCCTGGATTGCTCTCCCACCTTATTCATTGAAGCAGGGTCTCTCGATCAAACTTAGAGCTCACTGTTATGGCTAGTCTTAGTCAGCATCTCTGTGGATCCCCTCTTTCCGCCTTCTGAGACTGGAATCACAGGCAGGGCAACTACCCCCGTCTGGTATTGCTGTGGGTTTCTGGGGATCTGAACTGTGGTCCATAGCGTGAAGTAAGCACATTATCTGTTCAGTCATCTTCCCTGAGCTTTGATTGTTCAGTGGTCTTGGGCCCTCTGCTCTGTATGCCACTGTGTTCTTCAGACCTCCACCACTGTCCTGTGCACAGAGCACTATGACTGACTGAGGGGACATGGTCCTGGCATTCAGGACTTCCAAGGTTCCATGCAGGAAATTATGTAGAGCTGGGCACTCTGGAAGATGAGGCAGGAGGATTGCAAGTGTGAAGCTACCTTGCACTATATAGTGAGATTCTATCTAAAAGGAAGGGAGGGAAGACAGAGGGAGGAAGGGAGATAGAAAGATGGAGATGGGGGGTGACAACATTTTCCAGTGTGGCTATCTTGTAATGGTCTTGAGAAACATATTTGGTAGCTACAGAGAAATGCTGGTGTCTCCTCCTCACAGGGTCGGCAGACATTTCACCGCTTTGACAAGTTCAACTCCAAGTACAACCCTGTGGGGGCCAGTGAGCTCCGGGACCTGTATCTGAAGACCGAAAACTTCCTGGGAGGAGAGTACTTTGCTCGGATGGTCAAGGTGAGTGAACCTGTCTCATCAGATCCCTGACATCAACTGCCTTCAAAAAGTAGGGGCATGTATGACCTCTGTCTCTTCCTCTCCCTGGAGGCCCTTCTACCACCCAGCAGACCAGTGCTGGTCCTCTGCTCTCAGGCATGGCCACATGTATTGTGTGGGCCAATGGCAGGAAAGGGGGCAGAAGGGAAGAGCTAGTAGCATCCTGGTGCTACCCCTGTCTGTTTGCAGCCTGAACTCGGCTGCTTGCAGGCTGGCTCCAGGAGACACGGCTGCTGCCCAGCCTGGTTCTACAGCCAGGCCTGTTTCTACAGCATGCCGGTGTCAAACCCTGGCCTCCCTCCCAGGAGAAGCCTCGGCTGGGGAGTGGGTGCTTACATGGCAACACCAGGGATTTAGATCAGCCTTCCCACCTATGAGCAGGTAGCTAAAGGATCCCAGGGCCTTCCTGGGGATTGGGGTCTCCCATGTGGCTGGGGGTCTCCTGGGCTGACTCAGTTCTTCTTGGTACCAGGAGGTGGCCCGGGAGCTGGAGGACAGCAAGTACCAGTACTCAGAACCACGGCTCTCCATCTATGGCCGAAGTCCCCAGGAGTGGTCCAGCCTGGCCCGCTGGTTCATTCAGCACAAGGTCTACTCACCCAACATGCGATGGATCATCCAGGTGCCCCGGATTTAGTAAGTATCAGGCCTTTGTCTGCCCTGGGTTTTCTGGGGACCACAGCCTGTCCTACATGGCTCCTGTGCTATTGAGGCATGGGCAGGGCTGCTGGTGCTTGGCTCTCAGCACATGTCACTCTTGCTTTTGAAGAATATACGGCAAGGCCTTGGTGGGGGACTACCATCCTGCCTTCTTATTATTATTGAAGATTTGGGTGAGCCTGGTGCACGACATGACTGGCAGTGTCCTACATTGCTGACATTTCCCTGACTGTCACTCAGAGTGCCTTTCTCGTCTCCAGCTGGGCTGGGCATGGGGTTTAGAGCAGCCAAGTGGCAGAGTCTGTTCACCCAGCCTGAATCCCACCACTGGCTTGATGGGCACTGGAAGACGGAGTTTGTACAACACTCACCGCTCTGGGTGTTTGCTCTGCTGAGAAAGTGACTGGAGCCCACCTGAGAGATTAAGTCCTAACAGCAAGCCTTTGATTTCCCCAGTGACATATTTAGGTCAAAGAAACTACTGCCAAACTTTGGGAAGATGCTGGAGAACATCTTCCTGCCCCTTTTCAAGGCTACCATCAACCCCCAAGACCACCGGGAGCTTCACCTCTTCCTCAAATATGTAAGTATTGGGGCCTCTGGTGAGCTCAGTGTTGGCAGAGGAGGGCACAGCTGCTCCACAGGGGACGCGGTCAGGCTTCCTCCTGCCGTCCATTGCTTCTCTCCCCAGCTCCTGAACCCCAGGCCTGGGCTGCCAGCTCCCAGAAGCTGTTTAAAGAAGGATTGGAGGGGAAGCTGCTTCCCAGGGTAGTGGTTGCTGGTGAAGGCTGTCCGTCCCCAGCAGAGAGGGGCAGCCATGGGCAAGAGTCACCAGCTCTGAGCCTAGAGGCTGGTGTACCTGATAAAAAGGATTTCCTAGGTCCTTCCCAGGGGACCAGAGATGCCTCTGGGGCCACTGCTGTGCCCGACTAGGGCCTCTGGGTCTGTTGTTAGGCATCCTGGTGTCTCATGGTCATACATGACATACCCAAAGGAATCATCTATCTATAGCTTTGAATCCAGCCCTGACATAGAGACTTACTAGTTTTGAATGCTCGACCTAGCTTAGCTCTTTTAACTTAAATTAACCTGTTTCTCTTTATCCACTTTTGCCTCTTGGCGTATTACCATTCTTACTTCTGTATATCTGACTTTCACTGCTTCTCTGTGTCTGCCTGGATTCTAGCCCAGTTGTGTCCCTCTTTTTCTCCACTCTTCTCTTCTTCTTTTTCTCCTCTTGAGCCTAGATTTCTCCTCCTATTCTTTCTGCCTGGCAGCCCTTCCTCTCCTTTCTCTGCCTAGCTATTGGGCTATTCAGCTCTTTATTAGACCAATCAGGTGCTTTAGTCAGGCAAAGTGAAACAGATGCAACATATCTTTACATAATTAAACACACATCCTTACATTGTTGAACAGCATCGTTTATGCAGCATAAACAAAAGTAATACACCTTTATACAGTTAAAGTAATATTCTGCAGCATCACGAGTGTAGCATCTTTTTGCCAGTTAAAATAGCATTCTACAACAAGCCCTGGAGCCTATGTGGGCCCAGCCTGGTCATCCTACTTGTACAGCTTCCTAAATCACAATAAAATGAGGCTTCCCCACACACAGACACCTGAGGACTAACTAGCTGGTGAGCTGGAAGGCCAGGAGGACTTGATGGATGTTAGTAGGCACATAGCATATCAAATAGGTCCCCCCCACCTCAGCCTGTCACTGCTGCTGTTGGCTGTGGCTGCCATTCCCTGCAGCACTGGCCTCTTTGGCATGGCAAAGGGAAAATTTGGCAGTTCCGACTCACCTTCATCTGGCCCAGCCTCGGTTTCCTCATTTTCTCCACAGACACACAGGGGCTGGGCGTTCTCCAGGCTGGCCTACTGGACCCACTGGGAAGCCCTAAAGGACAGACTGAGGTGCTGTGCCCCATCTCTATGCCCTTGAGGGATAAGGCTGCAGAGGCCCAGGGTCCCCAACAGAAGTGAGAGCACCTAAGCCCTGCCTGGAGCTGAGCTCAGTCCTGGAAGATCCTACCCTGGCTCAGTGTCAGCATCCTTACTTCCCACACAGGTGACAGGGTTTGACAGCGTGGATGATGAGTCCAAGCACAGTGACCACATGTTCTCCGACAAGAGTCCCAGTCCAGACCTCTGGACCAGCGAGCAGAACCCACCTTACAGTTACTACCTGTACTACATGTATGCCAATATCATGGTGCTGAACAACCTTCGCAGGTGGGTGAGGTGGCCCTGGAATGAACCCGTCCGTGTTCCACATGCATGTGATCCTTGGGTCTGTGTTCACTTCTGCCAACTTGCACACCCAAATGGATACTTAAATTTATCATTACTGCTTACACGTGGGCATATGCATGAGAAGGGTCATGATGATATAGATATGTGTCATATGTACATATTCACCAGCACATACCTCCATGTGGACTTGTAGATCCCTGAGACAGGAGAGACCTAGGACATGCCGATACATATGTATGCTTTATTTACTGCTATGAAGCAATCTGCACACATGGATTTGTGCTTTGGAAAAATGTAACTACCATGTGATGGGCGCAGTCCAGGCACAGGAGAGATGGGGAGTGAAGCAGATTCAATCTACATAAATCTTAGGGAGATCTCCCGTGCAAAGGCTCCACAAACTGGAGAAAGCACATGCTGGCAAGGGCCAGACACCTGGTTCACAGAACGCAGTCGCATTCGCTTCTTTACAAATCTAGTATTCCGTACACTGTCTTTTGGGGGCATGGCTTCTTGCTGGCCAATCCAAGTTTGTGGCGTGGCGGTTCAGAATGGGGTTGAGAGAAGGGCCTGGGACCAGGGTGGAGGTGGTCCTGAGCTGAGCTCTTGGAGATGGGCTTTCCAGGTCTGGCTTTGTCACTGAGCTTCTCAGTGTCTTTCAATACACGTCACCCACTGGGCCTTTGCTCATTTCTATGGCAGAGTTTGGACTTGGTTTCTCATGGTGGATGGAGGTCGCAGTCCTAGAAAGCAGGGAAGGGCCAGGGTCTCTCTCTATAGCTAGTGTCCTCTGCCCTGAAAGTCATGTCTCTTGGCTCTATGTTAAGGAGGGACTGTTTCTATGGTGCACTGGGTTAGCTCTGCTGACCATGTCATGGGTAGTTCTCCCCTGGAGTGGGTCCTGGGCTGGGGGTGTGGGAAGGGTAAACCAGGGTCACATCCTAATCTAGAGCCTCCCTTCCACAGGGAACGCGGCCTGAGCACATTCCTATTCCGGCCTCACTGTGGGGAGGCAGGCTCCATCACCCACCTAGTGTCGGCCTTCCTGACTGCAGACAACATTTCCCATGGGCTGCTCCTTAAGAAGGTATGTGGGTCACTCCCAGGCCATGCTGGGTGTGCTGGGTTCCCATCCCCCACTCCGAGTGTTGGTCAGTGGTGCTGGAGGCCATGGATCCTGGAAGGCTGAGCTACTTGTAGTCTTTTTGGGTTCACTGACAATTTTATTTAATTTTTTTCATATATTTTGATCATATTCTTTCCCTTCCAACTCCTCCCTACTTCCCTTCACAACTTCATGCTCTCATTCTCTATCTCTAAACAAAAACAAATAGCCCGAACAACACACAAAAACAACTGGGTTTTGCCTGGTCTTGGTAGCTGCACGCCTTTAGTCCCAGCACGGCAGAGGCAGAGGCAGAGGCAGAGGCAGAGAGGCAGAGAGGCAGAGGCGCAGAGAGGCGCAGTGAGGGAGAGAGAAGCAGAGAGAGGCAGAGAGAGAGAGGCAGAGAGAGGCAGAGAGGCAGAGGCAGAGGCAGAGGCAGATGGATTTCTGTGAGTTTGAGGCCAGCCTGGTCTATATAGTGAGTTTCTGGACAGCCAGGTGTGTTACACAGAGAAACCCTCTCTTGAAAACAAAAACAAAAACAAAAACAGAATGACAAAAAACAAAACAATTGGGTTCACTTTTAGTCATAAAATAAACAAACACATGATTTAGACTTTTTTTTTAAAAATCAAATGGCTAAAAAAAAAAAGTGATTAAAAGCAGGGGAGTGGGGGCGCATGCCTTTAATCCCAGCACTAGGGAGGCAGAGGCAGGGGGGGTCGC